GATGTCTTGTCAAAGTTACCAGAACCAGGACTGAAATCAGATGTTCTGTTTCATAATACAATGTAATTTCTACCTCACAATATTCCTTTAATTTTAAAGCAACTTTGTCATTTTTATACTTTCATGGCTTTGACATAATGTTAGGATTTAGGCTTATATATTTGTATTCACAATCATTTCCCATTCACCTCCTTAACTCTACAAGGAAGCCATACCCATTCTCTGGGATGTTACTGCTGGGATTGGCAATGGTATGGCAAGCTTGGCATTTATGTTAGAATGGAATTGTGGATGGAGAAAAAGGGCACTCAGAGCTTTCAGAAATTTTCATCTTTTATCAAAAGTAATTGTCATAGAGCAGGAGAATCCCAATTTAGAGAAAAACAAAAGCATAGGTTGCCTTAGGCTTCAGGTACTCAAAGGTGGGAAATGCCTTTGGCACTCTTTCCTCTCTGTTTTCTCCATTGGGAATGCCATTGAATTTCATGGTTTCAACTATTACCTCCAGACAGAAGAAGGAAAAAAAATCTTCCGAAACTATACCTTCAACAATCATCACTTAGGTGCTCAACTCTTATTTTCAACTATCCCCTGGATACTTTCTCCAGGATCTCCCCAGGCTGCCCAAATAAAAACTGTTCACAAGGAAATCATCTTTGTACCCTTACTGATCAGCAGTTCCTGCATTCCCAATTACCATTTAGTCCATTGTCATCATCATCCTATGAGACAGTCTTCAATATCATTGTGCTATCTCTTCTCCCCAGGTCCCACTGCCAATTTCTATTGATTATTCCTGCCATTAGGGCCCTGTCCCTGTCACTTCTCCTGCTGACACCAACTGAAATGTTCCTAGAGTGCTGGTTATTCCCAGTAGATCCTTTTATGTTCTTTTGTTCTGCTCTTCTCTCTATCTGGAAACTCTTTTCACCATTCTATGATCATATCTTACATCAACAATTTAATGCCAGTTTCATGTAGCCTTCCTGGCCCGTTCAGCTGAAAGTATTTCCTTCCTACCCTGAACTCCTGGAGATCTTTCACTATATCTTCCCTATGGGACATACTTGTTAATTAATAAAAATAGTATTTGTTGAACATATACTGTGTATCAGGCATACACCTAGGCACTTTCTATACATTTTCACTTAATCTTCTTAGCAGCCCTATAAGACCTGGAAACCTTTAAAATGTATATATAAATATTGATGCCCCATCCCAGGAGATCCATGTTTAACTGGTCTCAGGTACAGCCTGGACATGAGGACATTCAGAGACTCCTTGGGTGATTTCGATGTGAAGCCAGGATTGAGAACCACTGATGTAACTCCATACCCACTTGCCAGATAGTCTCCAGTACTTAGTATCACCTCTGAAGCTTTAAAACACAAACAAATGCTGGGCCCCAGCCCAATCCTACCAAATTAGAATCTCTAGGGGATAGAGATTTGTAGTAACAAAACGTCACAGGTGACTCTGTCACATAATAGGGATTGAGAACCACTTTCTCAAACAGACACTGTATCATCTCCCTGTTATGACCATCTTACAAGTAATTATATGTGTCTTCCCCCACTGTATAGTCTGTAAACCCTTTGAGGACAGGTTTACCATTTGATTCACCTCAGTCTGCTCCCTAGCACCTACCAAGGTCCCTCACACATAATGTGTTTTAAAAACTAAAGAATCAAGAAAATGCCTTTTTTAAAACTTATTAAGAAAACAAAATTTATTTTCTTTGTGCTAGGTTTATAATCTCTGGTATACTGACCTGGAAACTAAACAAATCATTTCAATTCTCTGAGCATCATAGTTGCATGGCTATTAAGTACCAGAGTTAGGATTTGAACCCTTCTTGGCAATACTCTTTTCTCTACATCTCAGGCCTTAAAAGCAACTACGAAGTGAAAAATTCAGCTGCCTACATGTTTGGATACATGCTGTCAGACATGTTTCTTACTTTTGAATATAATCTGTCACATGGGAATAAAGGCTCTGTTGGCATTATGAAATAAATTTAGAAAAATGTTACTTTATATCTAAAAATTGTGAAATTAACAGGTATCCCTTTCTTCTCTTCAGTCCCACCCTCCCTCACTCCCAGATGTACAGACAGACAGACAACACACCTTTTGATTGTTCCTTGACATTTACTGACAACTGTTTACTGCATTGGTGATTTTCTTAGGTTTTTTTTCCTCCTCCTCCTTCTTCCTCATGCTATTTCTCAAAGGCTTTTCAAATAACCTGAGCTTCTGATTATAAATGAAATATTTTTAAGGGTTCACATACACTTTAGTTAAGGTAATAAATTGGCATCTGTAAACACTTCTGATGTTTCATTCAATATGAATATGCACGTAAAATGCATACAGGCATAACAAAGTTGAAATGATACTCAAGCAAGTCTTGGGAACCTGGGTTCCAGGCTGTGTTTGCCATTTCCAAGCGAGGTGACTTTGAACAGGGAATGAACATTCTAGAGCCTCTTTCCTCATACAAATTGAAAGGGAGAGGGAACTAAGGTAGACTCTCCCAAATTGTCTTCAAAATGTGAAATGTTATGATCCTTTAAAATATTAAGTAATTTATTAGGCCTTTGCTTAACACTAAATTAATCTTTGGTCCTTGTTCTTATTGGTTATTTTTAAAGGCATACAGAGACATTACAACAAAATTTATATATTCTTTACAGCTTATAAGAAGTGTTATATAAAGTGTTCATCTCCATTACCTCCTTTGATTTTCATAACATAAGTACAGAGATAGTCATTATTAGCCCCATTTCACAGAAAAGGAAATTGAGACACAGAGGCTAAGTGACTTGTCCAGGGCAACAGAATCAGAAAATTGCAAGTCTAGACCCCTACTGGGCCCTACCTGCCTTGATACCATAATGGCCACAGGCAAAGCTGGAGATCAGGGACCAGGTTAATCTGCCATGTGGAGGGCTCACCACAGTAGCCTATTTGCCCTCCCAAATTGTTTTCTAGCTCAGGCGCCTTTAAATTGCTTTAGAATAGAATACCAAGTGGGGATTTATTTAGCATATCATTTCTGCATATGTGTTTTCCTGAGCATTTATAGATCTGTGTTTTTCCAAGAAGCTGAGTGTTCCTGATAAAACAAGACAGATAATGATAAATGAGCATCTATGTAAGCTTAGCTGGGAGGAGTACCAGGGACTGTTAACACCCCTCCTGTGAAGTTAATCCCATTTCTTTTAGCTATTTCTTTATTAGTTAATGAGGTCTTGCAAAAATGTGTGTCTCGGATGGTGCTTTAGCATCCTTGCCTCTAGGAATACTTTCAAATATTCATAAAGTAGCTCATCTGACCAAAGCTTAAAGCAAAGGTGCATTAAGTATGAATTTAGTCAACTTCAAATGTGGGTGTTCGAAAAGCTGCTGATGAAATAACCTAAATAATCCTCCTCCTTGGTGTTTCCAGATCCACAGCTCTGGGAGCAAACGTAAAGGGTGACAGGGCAGAGGTATTATTTGGAACAGCTAGGACTCTGAGGGCAGCCCTGTAAGCTTTGATCCTGCCTGCTGACTGACAGTAGTGTCGCTTGCTTTTGGGAAACTGAATAACTTAAGAGAAACAAAAATAAAATGGAAAAGGAATTGCCAGTCAAGTGCCTGGGAGGGAGAGATCATATTATTTCTGGGAGGCAAGAGACCTGCATTGCACTATGGTTCCTTATGGCAAAGAGGGAAAATTCAAATCTCAAAAAATGGTTTGGTGCTCAGGGATGCATTCGGAGAAGCAAAGCAAATGTGGAAACTTAGCCACTAGACTGAGCTCCATGGTAGAGTGAATCACGGCAGTTGCCTCTATGATCTCATTTTGGAGGATCCCCCACACTGTAGCAGGGTCCTTGGAACACAGCTAGAATTCACACACACACACATACACACACACACATACACACACACACACACACACACACACTTCCCCTACTTCCCCTACTTCCTCATCCCAAAGCATAGCTGCACAAACCCTTCATATTTTTTACCCTTTTATGGTTTTGTGTCTCCAGAATATCATTTAAGGAAGTTACACCATGGCTCTTCTTCTACGTGCAGTTCATAAGCAAAGGTTTGTTTGGTTCCAGGTGGCCTGGACTATATATGGTATACTTTCTTTTTACCCTTTTATGATTTTGTGTCTCCAGAATATCATTTAAGGAAGTTACACCATGGCTCTTCTTCTACATGCAGTTCATAAGCAAAGGTTTGTTTGGTTCCAGGTGGCCTGGACTATATATGGTATACTTTGGCTAAGCGACCAAAAATTATAGCTCACTATTCTCCCTCCTGTTTCTGGGCAAGTTCCTCTGAGCTGCCACCAAAATAGCACAAGTCTTCCTGATCCTACTTTAGTATGACCTCAAGGAACAAACTATAGGCCGAAGTCCTCTGACCATCAACCCCACAGGGCATGTCAATAAACCACTGTCTGACCTCAGTGCTGCCTAACATGAAATATCTATCCTCGAGAGAATCCGTTCATGTCACTGCCACTGAGTCATATTCATTGGAGTCTTTAGCCTTTTGCAATATCAACTCCCACATGAAGGAAAGTCTGAGCCACACTTCTGAAAGGAGAGGGCCATGTAATCCCACTCAAGGACACACCTGGAGAGAGACACACATCTTCCGTTAACGACAGCTAATGCAAGTGTTTCCTTTTGCCACTCCTTGTTCAACTTTTTGGCCATTTAATCTGGTTATGAATTTCCCCAAAATGTATTTTTTAAAAAGTTCTAAAAACAGCAACAGCACCATAATATTACTGCCTTCAGAAGTGCTCAGAGTATATTATTTCTCTTTTGTCTCTTGCCATGAGGACATTGAGGGCACATGGACAACCATTGTGGTTACAGAAGATACAAGCTGATGGTTGTTCCAGATGTAATTCTGCATTTCTCAGTAGAAATACTGTTCTATCCAAGGTGTAAATTTGACTGGTGTCCTGCACTTAATGTTCTTTTACAGGTGATTCACATAACAGGCCGGCTACGCCTAAGAGTGTCACTGTCCCATGGGAGGACCGTCCCCAGCCAAATCATGGGTCTCGTGGTTGTTGCTCATGCCTTGCCTCCCCCTACGATCAATGAAGTCAGGATTGACTGCCATATGTTCGTCACTCGAGTAAATATGGACCTCAATATCATTTACTGTGAAAATAGGTACTTGGATTTCGTTTTCATTTGCCCTGTTGCACATTGCACACTGGTGAGGGTTTGTGATTTCAGCAGTCTGAAGGATTTTACTTTCCCAGTGACACTCATTATAAATCCTGATCTTGTTTTTAATGGCTGCTTGGACTGACACCAAGCATGCTTTTTATTTAGAATTTACATTGCTATCCTGATTTCCATTAGGAACAACAATCGAATGAACAGGAATACCCAGACATCCATATGCTATAAAGAAGTCGCATTTTGGCTGAGAACCCAAAGAGAGACTAGGGCTGAGAGTTATTGGCAAAATGATAAAGTAAAAGGTATCTCCTGATGCCTCAGGGTGACCCACTTCCAACTAATTCAAGGGCCCGGTCTCATTCATGATGGTCAGTGTTCACATAGATGTTAACTGCGGAGAGAACAGATGAGAATTTGAGGCCCCTAGAGGGAAAAGGGCGAAAAAGAAATTTGCAAACTATTAAATAAAACTTTGTCATCCTGAGGATTTCACTTTAATATTTTTTTTTTTTTTAAAAAGATGACTCATCGTATAAATGAGTTGGCAGTTCTTCCTCAAGACTGAGATTTTATAAAAGGACTTTTTAGCCTCTGGTTAAAAAGTTCACTTTTTCCATTAAGCACAAAGCAAGGGACAAGGAAATGGGACAGTGCCCCTTCAGACCTTTCACCTAGAAGTCACCAGCCCATCATCAGACTGATTTGAAGAGAGAATCATGGGGTTCAGGGAGAGCAATGGAGAGGAACTGCCCACATCTCAGTCGTGGGAAGGAAGCTTTGGCGATACCATCCATCCCGTGGTGCCACAGGGAAAATTACTGAGTCAATTTGGGGAGGATGCTTTTGTGGCACAGATTGTTGTCAGGCTTGAAGGCAATATGTTCACTGAGCCCTGTGAGTGCCCCTGGAGGGGAAATGAAAGAGCAGAATGGTCAAGCGGCTGGGTAATTGAGCTCTCCAGAGCCTAGCCAAGAGGAAGACAGACAGCCCCAGCGTTCAGTCCACTGGGAAGTGCTAAAGATGTTGACATTGAGCTAGAAACTGCCTACCATTTCCAGCCAGGATCCAATTCGGAGCAAAGAATTCCCCAGTGGGAAAAGACACCACCTGAGCTATGAGTGTTCGATAGGGTAGAAAATGTCATGAACTTGTCACTATTATTTGATAAGCAATTCTAAATTTGCTTTTCAAGTTCATTCGGCATTCATTAAAATTTTTATCATCGTGAGTATGTATTTGGCTGTATCTAAAGTATTCTGGAAGGGCCACAGAATATCAGGAAAGATGAGTTAGCCAGAATGATTAACTGGAGTCGGCAAGTGGTAATAAAGATGGCTGGCATTTACCGAACACCTACTGCACTCTGAGTCATGTACAAAGCTCACCATCTGACCATCTCATTTAAGGACATCTCATTTAAGGCCAGTTCTGTGAGGGAGGGGCTGCCTCTGTCTCCATCAACGTCAGGGAATTTCAGCTGAGAGACAAAGAAGGGTGAATGACTTGCGCTCAACCATGATTCAAACCCAAGCTCGCCAGATGCAAGCTACATCCTGTGGGGTCTCTCTGGAGTCTGTCTCTTATTTTTCTTCACAAGTCAGACTAAATGGCAAGGGCCTGGTCAGAATAACCTCTGAGGGAGAATTTTCATGTATGTGTACCCATCAAGGAACACAATTACAGCCCACAAAGCTGCTTATTCTCTGATTAAAAATGTAGAGTGTTGGAGAAGGAGATCTGACCAGGGGAGGCAGATATAAAGTCAGAGGATGGATTGTGGCTTGGCTTCTTCAAAAACATTTTAGCTTGCTTTAGATTTACTGCCACTGCCCTCCAAAAAAATGGGGCCTCATCTTATTTACCAAACTTCAATGATTGTCCTATCCCAAAACATCACTTAATTTTCATTCGTGTGATCAACTGATTAATTCTTTTGACAAGCTCTACAGACCTGAGTACCTCATGATGCCACTCTAGTAATTGAGATCATTTTCTGCGACCTGCCTTTAGCTTCTTCCTTCCCATTAAAAAAAAAAAAAATGCTTTCCACAACTCCCTATTAGCCAATACAATACAATATTATTTCCCAAGTGAAGATGATAGTAATTATGAAAAAGACCTGTATTAAAGGTAATTGCATATTTGATCTGAGGAAAAAGCATACAGTGTGCCAGACACTATGCTATGTTAGTTTCATTCCATTCATTAGTCCCCTCACCAACCTCTTAGGTTGTTTTACAGATGAGTAAACTGAGGCTCAGAGTCAAAGATGCCATCAGGATAATGATCCTGATTAGGTAGCTGACTGGTCTGGTGCTTTCTACACGTATGTTAAAAGATCCTTGAACACTGAGCTGGTCACAAGCTCTGGTACATAGAAGGGCCTCAATCCCTTTTGAAGGATTTCAAAGAAAGAATAAACTAAAGAAGTGTTTTCCCTAAACAATGGAGTGTTTTTCCTGGGGTTCAGTATTTAATTAGGGAATTGTAAACAGGACACTAAAGCTTGCTCCTTGACTCGGCAGCCCATCCTTCGCTGCATTCCCTGGGACAGCCTCAGGCAAAGCCAACATCTAATGATTTCAGAGGAGCTGGCAAATTTCAGAAACACCAACAAGGGTCTTTTCATGACATCCTTGTTCCCTCATTTGCAGAAAGGGGTTGTAAACTGTGCTTGGAAAACAGCTAATGGTTTTAGAAAAACATCAGCTAATCTGTTTTGTACCAGAAAACCATGGAATCCTTAGAAAACACTCCTTTTAACTTCCCCATTTAATCTTATCTCACCAAGAATTCTAGTTTGGCCAGAAATATTATTTAAATTGCTGGACATTGAGAAATTTACCCACTGGGTAGTATATTTTAAGTATATTCTATACAATTTTGTTTTTGTTTTTCTTTCTTATTTCCCTGCCAGATTTAACTCCCCAACAGTGATCTCATGTATTTCTTAAACATGTCATTTCTAAAGATTCACTTCATATTTGAATAGACCATATGTTATATATCATTTTAAAAAGCATAGGGACAGTAAATAGAATAAATCAAACAAAAAAATATTTTCTATTTGGGACTGACCAAGACAAATCCGTACTTAGTAATACAGAGGGTAATGAGCATTTGGAAATGTTTGTGTAAACCAGGCAGACTCCCCCAACATGTTTTCCAATTTGGGTTCTTTTTTTCTGTGCTCTGCCTGAGGACATTGACGTCTGGACAATCAATGACAGAGGCTTACACACAGGAACTGTCGAGCACAAGCCTGGAAGAGCTGCTAAAATGGTTTAAAAGTTTCTGTGTGGAATCCACCACAAAGTACCAGTTAAAAGGGCCAGGAGTGAAAGCTGAGTTCCCAAATGACTAAGACTAAAAAAGATAATACCCCCAGGCATCTGTATGTCTCAGCATTTAAATTATATCCCTTGAAATGCCAATTTGGACTTTGTGCCAAGAAGCAGTTGAAGCCCTTTTTCATGGAAATACCCAATAGAAGACCAATCTGTTTAAATGAAAGGTGTCTCTAATCATTTTGTATAAACATAACATGTTTTTATTTTATTATGTAACCTTGAATTATCTCGGCCTGTAATGAGGATCTTGCATTGTTACTGATTCTCAATAATTTCATGGAATTATGTTGTCTAAATGTGCATTCTAATGCCAAAAAAAAAAAAAAGAAAGAAAGAAAGAAAGAAAACCTACCTAATTATTTAAACACAATTGCTTGATCTGGCACATTTCCTACTTTTGAAAAAGTCTGTTACACATTAAAGAAATAATCTTATCTATAAAGGGTTTTCCCTCAAAGTGCCATGTCCTCATGGGTACCTGGTATAATGAAAATGTGTCCGTAGATCTGTTTCTAAGTTATTTGACAGTTTCTCTATTTTTCCCCTTACTGAATTCCAGCCTGTGTTCTTCTCTACACAGGATTAGTGATTATATGGATCTGACCCCTGTAGACATCGTAGGGAAGAGATGCTACCACTTCATCCATGCTGAAGACGTCGAGGGCATCAGGCACAGTCACCTGGACTGTAAGTAGCTCCTGTGCATGGAAGTAACTTGGGCTGGTGTCATCTCTCCCTGATGCTTGTTTGTTTTCAGTGCTGATTTTTCCCTTCATCTTTCCTGTGTACATTTGAGATGACTGTCAGCGTGCAGTGAGAAAAAGTGAGACACAAATCATTTCAACTTGTGTTAGAATTAGATTGAAAGTTGGACCTCAGGCCCAGAGAAATTGCTGGATCTTTAGGCGTTCACCCAGAATTTTGTGGTCAGTTGTGCTATCTCTCCCGTGAAGTGGTGGGGGAACCTTTGCCTTAATTGCTTCCTTGACTCTTTCATTTTCTAGAGAGCAACTCCCACTCTGAAATTTGTGGTCTCAGTTTCAAAATATACATGGGAGAAGACAAGTTCAAATAGGCCAGAGCCTCATAAAAATGCCTACTTAACTAGCCACAAAACTGGTGTGAGGGGAAGGCCAGGCGGGGGTGGGCAGAGCACATCATGTGAACACAGCAGCTCTCAAAGTCAGTACGAATTCTCTTTACTATATGAGTATTTCTGGAAAGAAGGTTATTCAGAGGAATAGATATCTCCATCCCTCGACTCCTAGGAGAGAGGAACTAATCTCACCTCTTCAAATGTAGCTCCCAGCTCCTGACCCTCTTTGAGTCTAGCTGAACTTCAAGGTACCTTCTGTGACGTGTAAGCAAAGCAGGACCAGCAGTGTTCTGGCTGGGTCCAAGTAGTACCTCACACACCAGCCTCATCACACAGTTCTCCCTCATCAAACTCCCCTGGGCTGTCTACACTGTGCACAGTAGGGGTCTGATGGAACCACTGATCCCCTGGGCTGCTTAGGAAGGAGGTGCCCTCTTCTGACCAGAGGTCCTTTTTATGACCATTCAATAGACTCCTCTTGAAAGATGAGGGCCCTACCAGCTATATTCCCAGAAGGTTCGAAACCCAGTTCTGACCTCTGATTTTAAATACATGCGAGGTGCCACAAATGAGATGGTACAGCTTGACACTGAAACTTTTATGTAGTAAAAACCAGCCGGTGACCTTTGTATTTACCTCCTCTCCCCTTTCTTATCATGGCTGAGGAGAAATATTTCAGATCTTTCCTGCTCTTTGCAATTGTTTGCTCGTTTCAAACTCAGATCTTCCAAAACATAATGGAGATGGTAAGCTAGCCAAAGTCTCAAAGAGTGAGCATCTTGTACTGTATTTTTAATCCTGCATTAGGAACACTGACACGAGATCAAGCTCAATGTCAAATTCCGTATATACCATGTCTCTGGGAAGAGCCTGTCTATGAGGCTGCTCTCTAGCAGATTCTGCTCCCAACACTGAGCGGGTGTCTTCATATCACACACCAGGGATTTAGAGATCACACTTGTTGCTAAGAATGAATGGGTGTCATGTATCACAGAAGCAGATGGCTGTTCAATTAGTTGGGGGAAAAATGATGCTGTTTCCTGAAAAGAAACATCAGGTTCTTTGTTGCTGGGAATTCAGAGAAAATGGAGAAAAATCAGGATCCTTGGAGGAATCCATGAATATAATTTTAGGACAATATAGGCCAGAGATCTGGACTTTAAAAATACATATATTGTTTTTAGGACACTGTCAGAGACCACTTGTGGGGAGAGAGGGGAGTGCCTTCTCATTTTAGAGTCTTAATTAAGGTCTATATTCAGAAACCTGATGCTGACAAAAAAGAACTTTGTCATCCTCAATTATTATTTGGAAAACATCATGCTATCTCTCTGGGATTTGATTTACAACTTGAAGAAACACAATTCCTCAGGAACAGCGAGCTAGGGCAGTTCACTTCTTCCCATAAAGTAAAGGTCTCCAACAAATATGTTTGATGCCATTCTTTCCGATTTACTTTTATCTCATTTTCAGTAGCTAGAATAATTTGAGAATGCTGAAAATAAAGTACTCCACCATTCACTATTGTGCTGTTCTCCTAATTTTTCTGGTATCTTGCCAACTAATAAGCAGAGAAGGTATGCTTTCAAATTCTGTAATTTTTTTCATTACTTGATATTGACATACTGGCTATTGCTTTATGATTTAGCGTACTAACAATGATTGAGTTCACTCTTAACTCATACACATGACTTCTAATTTTGAATTCTTTTAATAACCTTAAACACATGAAAAACAAATAGAATGAGCTGATAATTCTGCACAGTAAAATACACTTCACATATTTAGCTATCATGCTGTGGAATAACTTCGCAATGTCAAGTATCACACAATTAGTAAAACTGTAGGGGGAGGAAAAGGAGTGTTTTGATCCTGAAGAATTTTGATCCTAATCAGATTGAAATTTCAACGTTCTTGTAGTGCTTAATATCTTCAATCACACACAAAAAAAATCAAACTGATTCCAATGTCAGATTTTGCATTCTATGACTGAAATAAAATGCTAAAATATACAAATGCACCTCGCTTTGTACAATAAACATTAACATCATTATAAAGTAAGATTGAGTCTAAAATAGTGTGATGGAATGTCTGATGTTTACCTAATTCTCAAACCAAAGCCAATCCAGTAACAAGATGACAGAGCATGTAATAAGTCTTGGTTGTGTAAACACTGGAAGAAAAGCCAGCCAGCATCTTGCTTGTCCAAAGCCCTAGGCTATTACTGAAAGATGCCTCAACTATGCCTTCTTGGCAGGAGAAGGTCATGATGACATAGAATCAGTTCAAGAATAAGATAGAATTCTAAAACAAAGGGATGGTTAAAAAAAAATAAAGCACATTAACTATTTAGCTTTTCTTCCTAAAGCTATTGGCACAATTTCTGGTTCTGCCCATGAAAGATAGCTTTTAGTTCATCTGATAATATTTCTAATATTTTGATATCTGTCTTATGCTCCAGTTTATGGATAAAACTTTTTTAAAAGACTCAACAGTCTTTGATAACTAAAAATACTATATTTATCACTTGTTTCTTTTTTCCTGGCCTAGGCATCTGTAAATCCATAAATAAGCTTGTCTCTAGAATAGGAAAAGTAAAGGGGAATCTCAGCTGCACCAAGATTTGACAACTCTAAGAAACTGAACCAAGAACTTTGGACCATCTCCTCTCCCACTAGCTTAAGCATGAGATGCCTGATAGTTCACCGGATTTCAACATAAAGGATCACTACCAATCATATTGTCGATACCAGCATCGTGGGTTAGTGAAATTATACTGGGATTCTAAAACTGAGTGAGTTTTAGGGCCCCTTCTTCCATACTGTGACCAATGACTTCTAATTTTGAATTCTTTTAATAACCTTCTTTTCTTTAAGCCGAATTTCATTGATTCTTCAGGTCAAATTGATCAACATTCCAAGATTTGAATTTTAAACCACTCATATTAGTAACTATTTGGGCATCTTCACCCCTCTATCTCTTCAGTTCTCCATTGCTCAAGAGGTATTGACCTCCTGAGAGTCACACACTCCACTTACCCAGAGCATCTATGTCACTCATGAATTATGAGAGGTTTCAGCATAGTCATCAACCATTCCATGCCTGCCCATAGTCCAAAAAATAAGATGTACAACCAAACAGAGATACATACTTTGCATTTCTCTCTGTTCCCATGTAATCCAGCCTTTCATCTATAGAAGGAGCTGAATTTGTCTTCGGATATCCCTAGGGTTCTTCCTGGGTCAAATCAGCTATAACTCTCTAAAACCTTAAAGAGTGTCCTGGGGCGGGGGGGCTTCCTTTCTCTTTGTGATGTTGTACTCCACCAGCAAGGTTCAAGGCTTAGTGCTGTGGGATTTCAGAGAAAAGGAGCCAGAGAGTATAAATGTGGTGGCAGTTTTTGCATCCTAGCCCCTTATCCAGGTTGAGAAAACTCTGGAAGAGTTATTTCAGAAACAGAGAAGGACTTCCAGATTGTCTGTGACATCACGTGAGGCTAAAATGTATGGCCTACCCGATATACTTGGGGGCTGCTAAAAAAAATACAGTAGCCTAAGTGTTTATTTCTTAATTACAAACTTCTATACTTTCTAACAAAACTAATATACAGCTACCTGGCATAATGCATTCCATGCTGTTTTGCATCAATAACCCCTACACTTCCCTCCTGAAGGCTCATCGCCAAATGCGAGCAGACTGCTTAATGCAGGACTAATTAGTATATCCCCTTCCAGTCTGTGGGCCCTCCATTGTAATTCCTTCCCAGCTCATTTTTTTCCGTAACCAAGCATCAATCAAAGTAAGTGCTCTGCCTGCCTAGGCAACACAAGATGTCCTCCATACATTTGTCATCTGCCACACAAACAAAGGGGGAATTTAATTGTTGATTTGGGTATGCAGCCATTGCACACAGTAATGGAAGCTGTAAGTGAAGGAATAAGGTAGAAAGTTTGATGGGTTGGCCAAATACGGACAGCACAGGGGACTTTTTTTCTTCTGATCTTAATCTTTCTTCAGGGCTGGTCTTCAGAGATTTTGCTGCAAACTGGTCACTGGCTGACTTTATCCCAAAGCAAATGAGTTTTTCCACCTCTTCCATATGAATATGAAAACTCCCAAGAAAAGAAATGTGTGTAATAGCTACCATGTCTGACTTTCTTCAGAATCTAAGTCAGCCTACATCATGTGCCTGTCTATTACTGAAAACTCTGTCACATGGCGACAAGATAAAGCCAGGTTTTTATGCAAGAGTGAAAGAGTGAATTAGTATTATTATTCTTTGTCTTTTTTTTTTTTTGCAAGTGCTGATTTTGGCTTCTCAAGTCCGTGGACAGGCAAACACAGAGAACAGAGACCAGCTAACTACCAGCTGAGGGTTTATGCTCCACTAGCTATACAGTGTAGTCTGTGGAGCAGCAGGATTGGCATCCCCTGGAGCCTTACAGAAATGCAGAATTTCAGGGCTACCCCAAATTCACTAAATCAGAATCTGCAGTTAACAAGATCCCCAACTGACTCTTATTCGTGCGAAAGCTCGAGAAGCACTGTCCATCCTAGTATTTACAAGGCACTATTTCACATGGAGTAAACA